TTAAAAATTTTATTTTCTAATATTAATCTAAAATAATGGGTTTGAGAGGTAAACCACTTTTTAATGATAAACAAAAAAAATCACTTATATATGAATAGATTATATTCAAATTTCAATTGTTCACAACAACAAAGCATTTTCTATAAAAATATTAATCAAAATATTTATTGTATTTGTTATATAATATATTTCCCATTTAATATATAGCCTGTTTGTCCATCACTAGTAACTCTATCCTATAATTAGATATCGTCTCAACAAAAGTATTATTTCATCACAAAATTCGCTGCTTTTTTCAATAGATATCTTTTCACTAGTTTTCCCATTCAATTGAGACTCACTTTACAATTGTATCCACACTTAAAATGATTATTTTGTATCGATACTAATCTTATTTGTGAACTCCGTTTTAAAAAAATATATTCAATTATAACTGTCATATTGTGTACAATTGACTTAAAATGTGATAATAACAAGTCATGACGATTATTTTTGTAATTTAATTATATAAAAATTAATTTAGATTAATAGACTATTGTTATTTTTACTTTCCCTAATTAAATTATAATATACATGTATGTTTTAATTATCATATTGTGTAGTAATATTGTTGTGATATAATAAAGTGAATAGAAATAATACATAACACATACCGATCGATACTCATAACAGTAGCCGTAAATACCTGTTCAATAAGTAGACAAACAGTTAATAAAGTATTTATAAATATTTATTTTATTGTTTTTTGATAAAAGATATTTCCCATCTATTGGTGTATGTCTTAGCAGTAGTTTAGCAAATAGTTAATTGATTTTTGTTTTATATATCAAAAGGGCAGTTGTGTGTTGTGTTTATCAAATTAAATAATGTTTATTTAACCCAAACAACACTTTTGTTTGCTTATTAGCAAATGATACGTTTGTTTATTATTTGTATTTTTTTGTAAATCATTTATGTCCATTAATTAAATTAATTTATTGTAGATTATATTTTAGAATAATAATTAAATGCAAATATTTATGTATGGCTATAATAATATTATAAAAATAAACAACTTTTAAAAATATTTAAACTATGTTATTAATTGAATTCTGCTAATACTATTTGTAAATATTTTCCAGAATATTCTGGGAAATATTTTATAATTTGTTAATTATTTTATATAATTAAAAGCAATATTTTTATGAATAAATAATAAAAACGTCAAAATAATATTACCGACGAAGCGATTGTCAAATAATTGATAAAATTATTGACGAGACAATAGGTTGTAGTGAAGGGCCAGTGGCCACTCAACATGAATACAAAATTGAACGTGGCGTTAAACGAGATGGTTAACAAATCCGATAGGGTAAGGTTTAATAAAAATATGTTCACTACTGTTCGCATCACTTTCTGGCGCAAAACGATCCAGATGATCAACGAGTTGCCAAATATGGCCAACAAAACCATAGCGCCGAACACCAGCGACCAAATCAAGACCACATACCAGCGCTCGTCAATCACCGGAAATCCCGGTTCGGTGTCTATTGTGTCGCCAACGGCTGGAAACACGTTTCCCGTCGACTGATTGGCGGCGATGTTATAACTAAACTCACGGATCAGTTGAGCCAAAGTTGTTGTATTATATGTCCGCAAATAATTGACACATTCCTTGTGTTGTGTCGACTGTTGTCCATCACTAGTCATCGGATCAACACTTCTGCCTCTCAGTTGTTGTTGTTTTGCACTCAAAACAACTCCCAAACAATAAGTCGATAATTCCAGTGAATTGTCGCCAAATCTCCCCAAAAATGTTTTATTATTAAATTCTTCATATAATGTGTTGTTTTCCATTGTTTTGCCTCTAATTCGCCGTCAAAACCGTCGATACAATGTTGTATTGATAGAGAAAATTGTTATCCGATTTGTTATTTTAAACAATCAAGTATTGCTCATACAAACAAAAACTTATTAAACACATTTGTTGTTAGGAATATATTTACTATAAGACTTAAGAAATTATTTTTTACAACAAATAAATTTTAATTTTGATACTTTTTTTTGTACACAACAGTAGTTAAGTTATCAAATAAAATATTGTTTTTATTTCATTTATGTCACAGAATATAATAAAATAGTTGACAAAAACACAGAATATTGTGACAATATTATGAAGTAATGAATATTATTAATTCATTTCACTTGATATGAAGAAAGAGAAATATGAAATAAAAGTAAGAATTCATTCATTATTTCCATTAATGTATTTGAAGAACGGATACCAAAAAAAGAAGATATAAGTATACGATTACCAATCAATCATAACATTCAATATACAATTCTTGATATTTTTACTGTTTTTAGTGGAAAATAATTGCAACAAAACAAAAGAGGTTAGAGTAGTGTTTCAATCACACCATTAGATATATCAAGTCTGGAGGCAAAAAAGCACATCAAAAGACCCTTTGATTGTCCTCTACTTAATGGTAAGCGAAGAGACAATTGTCTGTTACAGAAATGTGGGCACAAGTTGTCTGGTGTGGAGTCGAAAGCATTTTCAGCCAAAAGTTGTGAACAAAATCTGTAGTCAAGTCTTGTCTCCGTTTTCATGCGCTCTCATAGAGAAGGGCTTCAAATACAGTATATTTCAGTTTGAATTGATTGCCGCGATTTTGCGCACATTTTGTGGCAATCAAATAGATTTTGGCAAACTTGTCTAAATTTATCAACTTGATTATTTTTGGTTTATTCATTGTAATGCATCAATTTGTAATTTTCTAAAATGTTATATCATATAACTTATATGCTATACAAAATGTCATTTAATTACCTAAAGGCTTTATATTAAAACTTTTAATTGTAAATATATATATAAAATATAAGGTTACACCTATTGAAATGAAAAATGTTATTTTTTACAATAAAAAGTATTTGAAAGCAAATAAATATACATTTCCCGTTATTTAACACTTAAAATGGACATCAATTTTGACAAAACCCTAAGGGATGACACAAGTGATGCTAAAACCTATTGTCAGACACGAAGTGATGATTAGTTTAAATGGAAAGGAAATGCTATTAAAAGCAAAACGGATGTAATAAACATGAAATAAATGTAATAATATGTAAAGATATGGTATTGAGAGGAGATATTATTGCCAGAACTGCCCGAAGAATATAAGAATTTATCAAATTTGTGGCCAATTTTTCGCCCATCATCATTTTATTAATGTTTAGTCAAATGCATCTTAAATATTGGCAGTTAAAAAATCTTAAATTTATTCAAAAAACTTTTCCAAATGGTTTGAAGGGATTTCAGGACAATATAAAAAGTGTGAAAATTTTTGGCCACTTTTATGGTTCAATGAAAATGCAATTTTTGCCAAATTTAGCAAAATTTGATAAATATTTTATTGATGTCATACACAATATTGCATTCCCAGTGTGTTATGACATATCAGTAAACATGTATTAATGTCTTTTCGAGCATTTCATGGGAAATATAATATTATTCTTGTTTTGATGAACAATGTATTGCATAACTGAATGCGTTAATAAACCTATACATCAAGTGCTAGCAAAATATTATTTTATATTAATTATTCTCTCTCTCTCTCTCTCTCTCNATATTTGTTGTACACTTTGTGTTATGTATTATACATTCAGACGACTCTCTCTCTCTCTCTCTCTCTCTCTAATAATTATAAATATAAAAGGGTTGTCAAACGCACAAGGTGATTATAAATATTGACTGAAAATAATAATCTGTAATCAAATTTCAAAATTTATTTCATTGAACACTAAAAATAATGTAAAGAAATAAGGGGTTTTAAAAATAATTAAAAACTAAAAAATATAGTAACAATTGATTACTGGTATGAAATAAACGGCAATCAGTTTATTAACGACATTGAAATCTTTGGAGAGAGAGAGAGAGAGAGAGAGAGAGAGAGTCGTCTGAATGTATAATACATAACACAAAGTGTACAACAAATATAATACTGGATTCGGTTCACATATTCTTGTGATTTATAACAAAATATATTTGGAATTCAATTTATAAACAATCGGTTTTCACTACATTTTATATGGCTTTTAATACGAGCGCAAAAGTGTGCAAAAATGACTGAATTTGTATATATTTTTTTGTTTTATTTTCACATTTTATTTTTGTGTTTTATATTCAATTGTGATTGACGTCAAGCTATGTTTTATTCATATTTATATACATTGTATACGAATTATTAGCTGATTATTAAATACATAATTTTCGTTATTTGCTTATTATATACAAATTATGGGATTTTCTTGAAATTTATTCCTCCTTTCCTGTGATTATTATTTTTAAATGCAATAAAAATATATACAAATATAATGACTACAGTATATTAAGCACTTGATGGACACCCAAACTGACAATTAAATAATAAAATTGTATTAATTATTATAGTTTTATTATTTTTATTTCTAAAATTGTGACGATAAAAACGGTATCGCATAAACCGTACGGATGTTATTAAATGAACAGAATATTCTCGTAATTTATAATTGCAAATCTTATATTCTTATAATTATTTTACAAAATTTATGGTAAAACAGTAAAAAATAGAGTTTTGCAAATATACTGGGACAATTTGAAAAAGATTGCAAATATAGTTAAATTAATGTATGAAAAATACAATATTATAATTTATAAAAGTTAATGAGTTTGATATTATCATTAGGAACATATCAAATGAAATTAATTTTATAATTTATAAATCACAAAACTTATTAACAGAATAAAAATTTTCCAATACAAGTTATTAATGTATTGATAGATAATTGAATCAAAATATATTTTTAAAAATCAATAACATTAAATTGATGGCTGAATTATTTTACCCGATCTGTGAAACCCTCGCAATATGTTATAATATTTAACACATTAATAACAAATGTGACAATAAATCGCTATAAATAAACTTTAAAAATCTTGAAAACTAGCCCTTATATTATGTTCACTTGTCATTTATAAAATAGCTTTTTGTCTGAAAACAGTTTATTATAATTGAGACAAAAAAAGATATACATTTCACGGAAAGAAATTTTAATTTCAAAGTAAATATATTTTTATTATTGAATTAATTATTTATTAAGTATTATTTATTTCTTTAATAAACATTATAATTAACAATAAAAATAATTTATTACATTTTTCTTAAGCACACGAAATAATGTCAAGAATAATGAAGGGATTCAGTGGTATTGACGATACGTTTCTTCGGGCGTATAAGAGATCCCAATACTTGTCATATGAATGGCAAAACTGGTCGTCCAATTGGTCTCAATTTCCAGGCCTTCCCTTTGCGTTCAGGTTTGAGGACAACTTCCGTCACTCACATCCCGACCAACTCCTATGGCTCAGAGACCGATGGCATTACTCCCTGTATATCAGTGTTGTCTATATTGTGGCCATACATGCCATCCAACGATGGATGCGCTCCAGAAGTGCCTTCAATCTGAGACATGTGTTAATTGTATGGAACCTATTGTTAGCACTTTTCTCGATCATCGCTGCCATTAGATGTTTGCCTGAATTTATTGATATCTTACGGACCAAAGGTTTAGTCGCCTCGTATTGCAACTCATCTTATTATGAGGTTAGCATTTATTTAGTCTCTCTCTCTCTCTCTCTCTCTCTCTCTCTCTCTCTCAATATTTCTTTTTTGTCTTTTCTTGATTTATTACAATTCTTGATATATAATCTGAAATACTTTTTATATGTATTAATGCGGTTTTGTTTTGTGAAATATACATCATATTTACATATTTCATGAATAAGTAATGAAAGCACAGGTGTGTGTGTTATCTATAAATATTATTTTCTATTCAATACTATATTATAAATGTATTAAATAAGCAAATTTTCAATGAATTCAATTGCTTTTTTATTACAAAAAAATATTTATTTATTGAGATGAAAACCTATTTATATTTATATAACAAATAAAAAACTATTTATAGCTACATAAACAAATCTCGTTTCATATAATATATTATAATTTAGTTAATAATGGACTAAAAATGTTAACCAAAATAACCAGGATATACGTGTGGTGTTCTGGTACTGGGCGTTTGTCATATCAAAAGTGGTCGAATTGGGCGACACATTGTTCATAACCCTACGGAAACAGCCGCTAATAAAACTACATTGGATTCATCACACGCTCACACTGTGCTACTCCTGGTTTGTCTACTCAGACCTCCCGTCCACATCTCGATGGATGGTTGTCATGAATTTGACCATTCATTCAATTATGTACACCTATTACGCCCTGAAGGCCAGTCGTGTGGTGCCAGTGACCAGAGGAGTGGCCAAATGTATTACACTTTTGCAAATTGTACAAATGTTTGCCGGTTTGTACGTCAACGTAAAGGCCCTGCAGTTTAAGGCAACGGGCATTCCCTGCGAAGTGTCGCCCCGTGTGATGATCACCGGCGCCGCACTTTACTCCCTATATTGTCTGATGTTTATCAAGTTTTTTGTGACCAATTATCTGAGGTTTAGTCCCCCGTCGGCTGAGAAGCGGCCAAATAATCGATATAAATATCCATTGATTAAACAAATTGACATTAACTCTAATTATATTTATCGTAATGGTATTAGTTTTCGTAAAGTTAACATGTTTTAAACAGTTGTCTTACTTTATAATCTATATTGCATTTTAATTTAACATTAATATTTACAAAATATACTAACTATTTATAATATATTAATTAATTACACATATATTAATTTTGTCAATTTATTTAAAAATCTATGCAACGTTTGCAGTTTAAAATGAGAGATTAAATTGTACCTAGGTTTTTTAGACTAAAATTATTATGTTAGTTAATCAATGTGTTAATAAATGTGTATTTTAAATGTCCCATTGATTTGTTTGCCTAAAGCCGATCATACGGTGCACTCGTGCTAACCATGTTCACACAAACACACACGAATGCTATCATTAAGTATGTAAAGTTTAAATATATAAATGATTTAATTTTTGTATAAATATGAAAACTAATCAATAAAATTTTTAACTATTGAGAAAATACTAATAAAATTCAAATATTGAAAAAACAGTGTCTTATCGACAACTCTATCGACAAAATAGTCCAAAAGTCAAGGATATGGAGAGCACTCACTCTCCAAATGCTTGAATATATTTATATATTTATAACTATAAATATATATTTAATTTATATTATCACAGATTTTGAAAATTTTTAACGATAAAAGTCACCATAAAAACAGTATTAAATGTTTAGTTTATTATTTAATTTGTTGAAAACAAGTTTATGAGTGCATTGTCTGTCTTTCACTGTCGCTAAGCATATAATAAAATATATTGTAATTAAAAATTATTACATTTCAATCATGACTTCAACCAAGAAATCCATTTATTATGAAAAGACAATTGAAGTGCAAAACTATATCGACGGCCAGTTTGAGAAATCTAACGACTACTTCAATAGCTATAACCCGGCGCTCAATCGTGTGAACGCATTCATACCGGACAGCAATGCCGATGATGTGGATCGGGCCGTCCGGGCGGCCAAAAAGGCTTTCGAAAGGTTTGTACCACTTATTAGACAATTTGCAAATACAAACTTAACAATATGTTAATCGACCGACAGCTGGTCAAAGACCAGTGTTGCCGATCGAGTGGCCATATTGAACAGGATAGCCGTACTAATCGAGCTAAACGCTATGGAGTTGGCACAGTTGGAGAGCATAGACCAGGGTAAACCTGTTTGGTTGGCCACTACTGTCGACATTCCGCGCGCGGCTCTGAATTTTAAACACTTCGCCAATAGTTTACAATACGATACAAACATGTGAGTCCACAAGAAGACTACATTGAAGACCATGGTCATTTATAATAATTAAATAATTAATTAATTGTGACAACCAATAGCTCAATAACGGATCCGGAGTCCGGTATAGTTAACTACACGACTCAGGAGCCCATAGGTGTGGCCGGACTCATAACACCCTGGAATCTGCCCCTGTATTTGCTGACATTTAAACTGGCGCCAGCGCTGGCTTACGGCAACACCGTAGTGGCGAAACCCAGCGAAATGACCTCGGTCACCGCCTACAAGCTGTGCCACTTGCTGGAAGAGGCCGGGCTGCCCCACGGTGTGGTGAATATGGTGTTTGGCCTTGGTCAAAATGTGGGCGAACCCCTTATTGAACACCCGGACGTACCGCTCGTGTCGTTCACCGGCAGTACAGTCACCGGCCGTAAGATTGCCGTCAAAACAGCCCCTCTATTGAAAAAGTTGTCGCTAGAGATGGGCGGCAAGAATGCGGCCATAGTTTTTGCCGACGTTAATCTGGACACACATTTGCCCGCAATTATCAGATCGTGTTTTTTGAATTCCGGCGAAATATGTTTGTCCACAAGTCGTCTATACGTCCAGAAAAGTATTTACAAACATTTTGTCGACAAGTTTACCGAAGAAGTCCTGTAAGTATTTGCTTGTCAATTAATTTTGTGGTACAAAATGATTGTGGTGTTTATGATATTTCATGCTGTTATTTTTAAAACTACTTAATCAATGATTAATGAACGGGTTTGTTTGTTTAATCAAGTGATAATAACGCATAATACGACAACATATTATGTTGTGCAAACCATTTATAAGTGGAAAAATATTTTTGTTTAGTCTTCAAAATTTTTTTATTAATTTTAATCAATATTAAGGAAACTTTCGTATTTTCAAACTAGATATACACTAAATGTTTAATCAATGATAGGATAAAATTTATAAGATTATTTAATAAGCTTATTATTAGATATCAATAATTTCGCAAAATATTCAGTGATAAAACACATGCTCTTATGTAATAATTTAAGGCTATTATCATATTTCTAGCATTACTTGATTTATTAATATGAACTTACGATTGCTAATTAAATCAAGTTTTATAAATTACAAATCTAGATAAAAATAAATGTTATTTTAATATAAATTACAGTAAGATAAGAGTGGGCGACCCCTCGGAGAGCGATACCCTAATCGGACCGATGGTAAGCGAAGCCCATCGACAAAAAGTCACCTCATACATTGAAATTGCCCGCAAAGAGGGCGCCACCGTTACCACAGCGCCCATGAAATTGTCGACCGAGTTTCAACATGGTTATTACGTGAGTCCGACCATCATCACGAACGTGGCCGACACGAGCCCCTGTATGCGTGAGGAGATCTTCGGCCCCGTTGTGTGTATTGTGCCGTTTGATACCCAACAGGAGGTGATCGATAGGGCCAACGACTCGCCGTACGGCCTGTCGGCCACTGTCTGGTCGTCAAACGTGGATCGCGTGCATAGTGTGGCCAATAAGCT